GTACAGCCACTATGGAAAACAGTGTGGAGATTTCTTAAAAAGCTGGAAATAGAACTGCCATATGACCCAGCAATCCCACTTCTGGGCATACACACCAAGGACACCAGATCTGAAAGAGACACGTGCACCCCAATGTTCATCGCAGCACTGTTTATAATNAAAAAAAAAAAAAGAAACAAAAAAAAAACAAAAAAAAATACAATAGCAAATCCTGTAAACCATTAGATTATTTTATCAGTTTATGCATCCAGTGTTTTATGTTTAATACAAAGTTTGAAAGACTTGAAATATTCCACTAAGCAAGCAAATTGTAATTACTCCTTCATAATTACCATGCAACTTTACTGCCATGCATTGTTATAATTATATTTTAAATTCCCCCCATTTATATGAGAGACCATAATGTCTTCTGGCACATTGCAATCTGTGACTTATAACTGCATCTCACTTCCACAAAGGCCTTTTCTCCATTTAGCCTCTATTTTAACTACTGTTAAAAGAGACTAAACAAAATTAATTGGCATCATAATACTGCAATAAGGAAATTGTAGATAATATATTTCTCAGCTACTGAAATCATTTCATTATGCAGAGCATTCATGCTTGCCCTCTGAGATCTATTCCTCCTTCGTTAAGGAGTCAGTCATCATCACATCAGTGCTTCTCAAACTTCAGTGTATACAGAAATCACCTTGGGATCTGGTGCAAATACAGATTTTAATTCAGTGTATGTGGGAAAGGGCCCCTGGCTGTGAATCTCTAATAGGCTCCCATGTGCTGATACCATTACTGCTGGTCCTTGACCAACACTTTGAATAGCAGCACCGTCAAGCATCTTGTAAATCTATGTGCAATGATGCTGTTAACAACTTTCTCTCACACACACAAGTACACACACAAACTTCACTCAGACCTCTACTCATCACTTCCCACCTTCAAGCCTGGAAATTGTCACTGTTAGAAGACTTAACACAAACAGAAGCTGTTACCAAGTTCTGTTTTGGCTGTTGTTGCTATAAACCCAATACTTGAGAGGCAAGTGTTGGTATGAAAGGTAAGGTTGGTTTATTCAGCAAGCCGGCACCTGGGGAGAAGACAGCCTCATGTCCAAGAACCAGCTCCTGAGATTCTGCTCAACCATGATTTTTTTTTTTTTTTAATATTTATTCATTTATCTGTTTGGCTGCACCAGGTCTTAGTTGTGGTGTGCAGGGTCTTGCATTGTAGCATGCAAACTCTTGGCTGCAGCACATGGGATCTAGATCCTGACCAGGGGCTGAACCTGGGCCCCCTCCATTAGGAGTTTGGAATCTTACCCATTAGACCACTAGGAAAGTCCCATGAAAAATTTTAAAGAAATTAAAAGTTAATCTCTGTTAATCATTTGGGGAAGGGGTCAAAGCCTTTGTTATCTTCCACTGTGCAGAGGCAGTTTTCTGATTGGCTGGTGATGATATAATAGGGTGGTATCCAGGAATTTTGTGCCCAGTCTGAAGCTACCATCCTCCACCTACATGGGGGCCTTAGTTCCTACAGAAGAACTGGAGGTGTGTTATCATCTATATTGCTTAAGGTGGAACTAGGACCCTGCCCCAGGGTGGGTGTTCTGCTGTTTCTTGGCTGGTTCTCCCTTCTCTGATGAGCAACTGTTTGGACCTGTCCTTTGGATCCCAGGGAAGGTCAAGAAGATGGAATGACACCTATGTCCTACAAACAAGAAATAGGGAACAGGGAAAGGGTTTGTACCCAGTAGGGCCCCACAGGGTCCCACTCAGTTTCAAAATGTCATTCAACTTGTGAAAAAATTTGCCAAGTAAGGAGTATGACATCTGAACTACATTTTGAAGGTTGCTTCATAATTTGCCAGACAAGTAGAGGGGCCAAGGTCAGGGGAGCCAGGAAAGGAAATTTCAGGCAGGAGAGAAAAAGCATTCATAGGTGAGGCATCTGTAAACTCCTGGGGGAGGGGAGGAGACTGATGGAAGGTAAGATTAAGGACACAGATTCTTATCTTCTAGTTGAGGAGTTTGGATATTTATATTAGAGGTGTTTAGAAATCACATGAGGACTAGAAGATTATATAAATCTGATTAATATAATTTACTGATGTTTTCTCTTCCACTGTCAATAAAATGGTCCCTTGGGAAACTAACAGAATGACATGCCTGCAATTCAAAGATAATATTATGGATATTCCATCTTATTTTAATGACACTTTTGAACATTTGTTTCTGGGGTTTTATTTCTTTAATTCATTTAGTAAATCATTGTGGCCCTATCTTCTTTTCCATGAAAATCTGCTTCACATTACTGAAATGACAGCAGATGTTTCAGCTTAGCAATGTCAATAAATACAAGTAGGTCATTGTCAGCATCCATAGCCTAACACTCTATGAAGATCCTCAAATATCAGGTTGGCTAAGACTTGAAGGGAAATAGATGTGGAAACAGTGGAAACAGTGTCAGACTTTATTTTGGGGGCTCCAAAATCACTGCAGATGGTGCAGTGATGGTGCAGATTACTGCAGCCATGAAATTAAAAGACGCCTACTCCTTGGAAGGGAAGTTATGACCAACGTAGATAGCATATTAAAAAGCAGAGACATTACTTTGTCAACAAAGGTCCATCTAGTCAAGGCTATGGTTTTTCCAGTGATCACGTATGGATGTGAGAGTTGGACTGAGGAGAAGGCTGAGCACCAAAGAATTGATGCTTTTGAATTGTGGTGTTGGAGAAGACTCTTGAGAGTCCCTTGGACTGCAAGGAGATCCAACCAGTCCATCCTAAAGGAGATCAGTCCTGGGTGTCCATTGGAAGGACTGATGCTGAAGCTGAAACTCCAATACTTTGGCCACCTGATACAAAGAACCGACTCATTGGAGAAGACCCTGATGCTGGGAGGGATTGGGGGCAGGAGGAGAAAGGGACAACAGAGGATGAGATGGTTGGATGGCATCACCGACTCCATGGACATGAGTTTGAGTAAACTCCGGGAGTTGATGATGGACAGGGAGGCCTGGCGTGCTACGATTCATGGGGTCGCAAAGAGTCAGACATGACTGAATGACTTAACTGAACTGAGAACTTGAAGACTCGAAGATACTGTAAAACATCATTTGCAAAGATATCTCTGTTAGGGCTTCCCTTGTAGCTCAGTCGGGAAAGAATCTGCCTGCAATGCAGGAGACCTGGGTTCGATTCCTGGGTTGGGAAGATTCCCTGGAGAAGGAAATGGCAACCCACCCCATTGTTCTTGCCTGGTGAATCCCATGGATAGAGGAACCTGGCGGGCTACAGTCCATGAGGTCGCAAGAGTCGGACACTACTTAGCGACTAAACCACCACAACCTCTGTTGAAAGCTAACAGAGTCTCACTCTGAGTTTTTAAACTTCCCTTAGTATTAAAATATTTTTTTGAAAGTTCTCTTTTCAGTAATGGTAAACTTAAAGATAGGTTGAAAATCCAGAATCTTCTAGTCTGTCTATCTTTGGTCCTTGTCTAGCTAGATTATTGTTGTGTGTATGTTGATCACTGAGTGACATCTGACTCTTTGCGACTCCAGGGACTGTAGCCCATCAGACTCCTCTGTCCATGGGATTCTCCAGGCAAGAACACTGGAGTGGGTTGCCATTTGCTTCTCTAGGGGACCTTCCCCAGCCAGGAATCAAACCTGGGTCTCCTGCATTACAGGTGAATTCTTTACCACTATGCCACATACTCTTCCAGGTTATTGTTATCTGGTAGTATATGTTTCAAGGATGCCTCTGAAAAATTTTTGATGCTAATGAGTAAAAGAAATCTTAAGGTTAATTGCGTATTCAGGTTTTTCTTTTCCTGCAGTGCTGCTCCCCAATACCTTACCTTCCAAAGTTTCACCAATAAAAGGGACTTTTAAATGTATATATACATACATACAAACACACACACACACACACACACACACACACACACATGTGCTTCCCTGGTAGGTCAGTGGTAAAGAATCTACCTGCCAATGCAGGAGATGCAGGTTCAATCCCAGGTCAGGACGATCCCCTGGAGAAGGAAACAGTCATCCACCCCTGTATTCTGACCTGGGAAGTCCCATGGTAAGAGGATCCTGGCCGGCTCCGGTCCATGGGGTCGCGAAAGAGGCAGACACGACTTAGTGACTAAGCAACAGCGCACACATATATAGTAGGAAAGGAAAATAATTTTCCCTCTACCCCTTCGAGATCTTGACTGAGACAACCCCTGTACTAAAAGGTAACTTAACAAGAGAAAAGCAAATAGAAGTTTAATAATATGGATGTTTCCTATATAGATGGCAGATACTCAGAAACTGAGTATATCAGTCAGCAATGCTGCATGGTAAAAGGCAAGGATACAGAGAAGAGCAAAGAATTAGTACAACATGTGGGAGATCACAGATTGGGCAGCATCCCAGCCAGCAGAGACGGGAGCTCCCGGGAGCTCCCAGGAGCTGTACAAAGTGAAAAATGGAAGGCATTCTAGCAAAAGTGGATTGGTTCTGGCCAAGTCACTTTCTTTAAAGGGAAGGCAGGAGTCTACCAGGCAGGTGACCTCTGAGTGTTGACCAAGTCATTTCAGATTCCGCTTCTCAGAGAGGCTGAAACTGTACTTAAGTCTGTTCAGTGACAAGGGGTTTAGCATAAGTGACTCCATTTGGGGCTTGTTGTCTTGCTTTTAACACCATCATAATCAGAAGGGGTTGGTTCTTGTCTTCTTACTCTGCCTCTAAGGCAAGTGCACATTCTGCTTAAACTGGTTGTTTTTTCAACAATATTTGTTATATGCTTTGATGGTCTGCCAGTACTTTTTTGAAGCCCAGTTAGTTAGAACAGCCGCCAACCAAGTTGAAACTAAAAGGGGGCCAAATATCTCTCCAAAAGCAAAAAGACTTCAAAAGATATGCATTACAAAGCACTACTGTGACTCACATAATCACTTATTTTAAAGGGGATTTGCTAATGTAAAATTGGTTTCTTATCTTCCCAGCCCCTAGTGAGCCTTTACTGTGCAAATTCGCTGATGGAGGACAAAAGAAGCGACAGAATCAAAGTAAATACACCCAGAATGGAAGGCCTTGGCCCAGGGAAGGAGAGGTGAGTCCTGACTGACCTTTGCTCAGAAATGTGGCCACAGACATCCCTCAGAAGGCTGGCAAGACAGACATACGGGGCCATGAGGAAACCAGGTCCCATAGAAAAGCAGATGGCTTCAAAGGGGGCAAATGAGCAGACCTGTATCGATTTTATCAGAATATGATTAGTCGAGAAGGAGAATAGGACTTCCAGACTGACCCTAGTTCTGCACTGTCGTTAAATCCTCTTTGAGCAAGTGTGAAACCAATAGGTATCAGTAGTTCCTGAAAGACTGCCACAAAGAATTGCTCCATAATTGTGTCGTAGTTATAAAATAAGGGTATGATTACTTAAGAAAATACTTTCAGTGATATCAACAGTGAGAGTTACATGTTTGTGTTTGAAAGAAAACAAAGTTAGATTTATTTCATTCTGCCATTAAGATGGTCTAGTTTTATTTTTGCGTGCGCTTGAAGCATGCCCAAATGCTCATACATGTGTTGATCTGTTTTTTATATGTACACATCAACATAAAATGTGGCATTTTCTGATGGTCAAGGAGAAAGAAAAGCTGGTACACACAGGGTTCTACTTTTCACAACAAGGAGAAAAGCATTTGACGGTTAATTACCCATCTAGTCTCCTAACACAAAACAGGAGAAAAACAAGCTTATGGCTTCAATGCCACTTGGGGATGATTCCCTTTGGTTATTTTTGTTATAAGAAGACAAGGAAAATGTGTCTGGGCTTCTAAGAGGTCTTTCTATTCTTTGTGAAATAGAATGGAGTTGTTTGAATGCTTGAATAAATGCCATTTTATACCAAGCCCATCATTTCAACAGAAGAGCTTTATTTAGTATTTCTATTCAAAGCATCTACTTCATCCATTTAAGCGGCATCCTACTTGGTACAGCATTTTGCACTTTCAATACTGAGATTACAGTTGTAAGGAAAGAAAAGAGGCTCAGTTTTTTTACTCAGCAAAACCTTTAGCCACTTTTCAGTTTCTCAGACCGTATTTTTGAGTATTTCCATGTAGATCTCAAAACCCCTCGTAAAGTAGATAGCTATGTTCAAATACTGTGTAATCTGTAATTCATTACCTTAGAAAGAGAATCGCCATGCAGCACTTGAAGCTAAAAACAGGGGGGGTTCAGTATTTCAGTTTTAGAAAGACAGTCTGTGCTGTGTCAGTACAGAAGAGGCAGGGTGTGGCCATGTGCTTTTAGTGGGCAGTTTGTGATCAGCGGGGAGCCCCGCTGCTCCCAGAAGACAGCTGATCTATGACAGCATTTTTCCACATTGCTCCCATGGCAATCATCCACAGTCTAGAGGGACTCATTTGATCTTTCAAAATTTACTTGAGTCAAATGCTTGCTGATTAGAGATTTCTGGATCACAGACCATAACCCCAAAGCCTCAATTTTTAACTAGATAACTTAGCACTCATGACTGAAATTACAGTTCCTGTATTATTGCGTTCACTGAATAGATGCCAGTTGTGGCAGGACCCCTCACTTGAGTCTACATTTCTTAGAAACCAAACCAATAAACGTAAAAGAAATAAAAACTTAGAGAACCCTCTCTGCTACTCTGTACAGAATCCAGGGCTCTGGGTTTAGACATGACAAAGACCACATGTGCTGTTATTGCCAAGGAAGCATTGTGGGGTCAAGTTTAGGATCCAGAGCACTTGCGATTTAAATGTAAGTTTTAAAGGTATATTCCTAATATTCATTTTCTAAAGCTGTTTTTTAAGAGCTACAGGTTTTCTCGTTGAATGTGAGAATCAAGGGACCATCATAAATATATCTGTGATGAATAGAAGCTTATTCCAAGTACATAGAGACATTCAGAGACAAGAAATCAGAAAAAAAAAATGGCATGAACTAAAAGTATGCTTATCAGATATCTTGGCTTTGAGATGAGTGTTTTAATTTTTGCACCATGACTATGGTCTTAGAAGTAGATACACCAAAAATATTGGATTACTTGGCCCATTATTATGTTAATATGTATTTTTTCTTGTATTTCCCCTTTGCATTGTACTTGCTAGAGTAAAATACATGTGTATGTAAGTCTGGTGTGTAAGGTATGACATCGTGCAAGTTAATCCTATGTAAGCAATATTTAATCATTTCTTAGAAAGCCATCCATTCTAATTATTGTATTTCATTGTTTTCAAGACACACATGTTATTTGTTGTTTTTTTTCCAGATTTTAAAACTTCTGAAAGCTCTTATTATAGTATTACAAAACAGTTTGCATTTGCTCCTGTTAGTCACCTGGGGGCACTACCTACATTCTCTGCTTTAGGTCTTTGACCACATAGATTGTATCAGTTGAAACTCTAACCAAAGCAAGGATGTGGGTCAGATTCTTGGGGGAGACTGTTTTTTATTTGCTCCCTTCTCTCATCCAGATTGAGACGTGCATCTTCCCTTGAAGTCCATTTCCGGTGGGCAGTTTTGTTTCTCGTTTGTCTAGTATCCCTTGTAGTCTCCAGCTTTATAAGGAGATCATTGTGGGTGTCTGTTTCTGCTTGTTTGTGTTATTGTATAAAATAATGGTTGCCTTAGAATCCAGCTGCAAAGAGAGAGAACGTAGGGGGACCTGGGTTCAATCCCTGGGTTCGGAAGACCCCCTGGAAAAGGGGATGAATACCCACTCCAGTATTCTTGCCTGGAGAATTCCGTGGACAGAGCATAGTCAGACACAACTGAACAACTAACATTAACCCTAGATGAAATTAAAAAATTATAATGTAGGTTCTGATGCTTCAGACCCTGAGATAATAGTGCACATTGAGGTTACTATTTACTTGTCCTGTCTCTAAAGTCAGGTAAAAAAGTGACAGTGTGAGAAGGATTTCTGAGCCAATGCTTCAAACACAAAACCAGTGGATTGCAAGCAACTTCAAAGTACCTTAAACATGACAATTGATAGGCTAATTAAACTTTTCATTTATGATGTAAAGCTGTTTTATTCTGGCTGGCATTTTGATAATAGTTCTTTTAGCATAGTTTGATGAAATGCTAATATTGAACCCATCATACACATGAATTAATGTAAATTAGCCAGGTCTTGAAACATAGGTACATGCAGGTGGACCTATTTTTGCATAAGTGAAAAACACTGAAATATTTGAAAGTTATTAATTAACCTCTCAAGTGACACCCAAAGCTGGGGCAGAAGGGTCGGGAGTGGTACTGTGAGCCTTGTCTTTCCAAGGGCTCAGACAGTCTTACCATCTTGAAAATGATTTCATTTCGTTTATTTGTGGCTGCACTGGGTCTTTGTTGCTGCACACGGGCTTTCTCTAGTTGCAGTGTTTGGGCTTCTTGTGGCAGCTGCTCTTGTTGCGAGCATGGGCTCTAGAGGGTGGGCTCAGGAGTCATGGCATGCAGTCTTAGTTGGCCTGCAGCATGTGGGATCTTCCTGGACCGAGGATTGAACCCCTGTCCCCTCCATTGGCAGGCAGACTCTTAACTACTAGACCGAAAGCACCACCATAACAAATAGGTGATCAGTGATCTTGGATATGATTACTGTGATTGTTTTGGGGCACCATGGACTGTGCCCACATAAGACAGTGAATTTAATCCACAAATGTGTGTGCTCAGGCTTCTCCACTGACCAGCCACTCCCCTGTCTCTCCCCTCTCCTCGGGCCTCCCTGTTCCCTTAGACACAGCAACACTGAAATTAGGCCAGTTAATGGCCTCTAAGTATTCAAGCATCCCATGTCCCTCACTTTAAATCAAAAGCTAGAAAAAAAATTAAGCTTAATGAGGAAGGCATATTTAAAGCCCAGATAGATGGAAAGTTAGACCTCTTGTGCCAAACAGTTAGCCAAGTAGTGACCACAAAGGAAAAATTCTTGAAGGAAATTATAGCGCTACTTCAGTGAACACATGAATGATAGAAAAGCAAACAGTCTTATTGCTCACATGCAGAAAGTTTTAGTGGTCTGGATGGAAGATCAAGCCAGACACAACATTCCCTTAGGCCAATACCTAATCCAGAGCCAAGCCCTAACTCTCCTGAATTCTAGGAAGACTGACAGAAGCGAGGAAGCTGCAGAAGAAAAGTCTGAAGTAGGCAGAGGTTGGTTCATGATGCTAGTTAGAAAAAAGAAGAGGCAGCAGCTGTCTCTTGCTAAGATAATCCATGAATATTGCTACAGTAAACAACAGATTTTCAGTGTAGACATAGCAGTTGCTATTGGAAGAGGCTGCCATCTAGGACTTTATAGCTGGAGAAGAGAAGTCAGTTCCTGGCTTCAAAGGACAGGCTGACTCTCTTGTTAGGGGCCAACGCAGCTGGTAACATGGGGTCGAAGCCAAAGTACCCAAGACTGGATGCTGCAGACATGATGGAAGCAGACAGACAGATTCCCTACCTTCTGGGACCCTAAAATGGCCAAGTAGGAGATTCAGAGTAGAATCGAGTATCATTCAGTATTTCAGAAATAAAATCACTCTCTGTAACTGGCTTCATACTTATAAACAGGTTAAGAAAACCAAAGCCAAGTAACAACGAAAACAAACAAAAATAACAAAAACAGTAGTCAGTAGAATATCAACTCACATTTGTCTTGTTACTAACCATTAACTATTCATTTGATTGACTGACTATTTTTCAGGGTAAGTAGCTGAACAATTGATTTGTACGTATTTAAATCCCCCATTTCTTCCAAAAGTTGAAAAGTTCTACCTTGTCACCTGTCTAGTGGATGCTTCCATGTCCTTGGGTGCTGAGTGGCTCAGAGAGAATAAAGCTGAGAGAAGTAACTTAAGTTTTGGAGTGTTATTTAACAAATTTTCAGTCCTTCTGTAGTGTACCCCATTTAAAATAACAATTCTTCCTAAATTTTTAGGAATCATGTGTGTTAACATCTGTGATATGCTCAAAATTGTTAGCGTTTGATCATTAATTTACCAGGCGTACTACTTGAGTGACTAAAGGGCTAAGCTCTGGCCCTCTCAAGCCGAGTGACAGTCTCTGTTCCCTCATCAGTAG